AGCATAGAGATGCTAAAGCAAATGGAAGAAATGAGGAGGTCCAAGAACTCAACAGAAAATTTCAAAGGTCAGCTAAAGAAGATAAAACCAAATATAACAACAAAATGTGCAAAGATCTGGAATCAGAAAACCAAAAATGAAGAACACATTCAGCATTTCTCAAGCTGGGGGAACTAAAGGAAAAATTCAAGCCTCGACTTTTGTTACTGAAAGATTCTCTGGGCATATTATTGAATGATGCAGAAAGCATCAAGAGAAGAAGGAAGGAATACAGAGAGTCACTGTACCGAAAGGAAATGGGTAATGTTCAACTGTATCATGAAGTAGCATATGATCAAGATCCAATGATACTGAAGGAGGAATTCCAAGGTGCATTGAAGGAATTGGCAAAAAACAAGGCACCAGGAACTGACTGAATAAAAATTGAAATCTTTCAAGAAAGTGATGCAGCACAGGGGGCACTCACTCATCTTTGCCAATAAATTTGGAAGACAACTATCTGGCCGACTGATTGGAAGAGATTCATATTTGTGCCCATTCCAAAGAGAGGTGACCCAACAGAATGCGGAAATCATTGGACAATCTCTTTGACATCCCATGCGAGTAAAGATTTGCTAAAGGTAATACAGAAATGGCTACAATAATACATTGACAGAGAACTTCCAGAGGTTCAAGCTGGATTCAGAAGAGGCGATGGAATGAGGGATATCATTGCTGATTTCTGATGGATCTTGGCTGAAATCAGAGAATATCAGAAAGATGTTTACCTATGCTTTATTGACTACACAAAGGCTTTCGATTCTGTGGATCATGACAAGCTATGGACAACATTGCAAAGTATTCCAGAACACTTAATTGTGCTCATGAGGAATCTATACCTGGACCAAGAAACAATTGTTTGAACAGAACATGGGAACACTGAATGTTTTAAAATTGGGAAAGGTGGGAGACAAGGTTGTATTCTTTCACCATAGTTATTCAACCTGTATGCTAAACAAAAAATTCAAGAAGCTGGGTTCTATGAAGAAAAACATGGCATCAGGATTGGGGGAAGACTCATTAACAACCTGCGATATGCAGATGATAACAACCTTGCTTGCTGAAAGTGAAGAGGACTTAAAACATTTACTGCTGAAGATCAAAGAGCACAGCCTTCGGTATGGATTTCATCTCAATGTCATGAAAAAAAAAAATCCTCACCACTGGACCAATAAACAGCATTCTTATCAATGGAGAAAAGACTGAAGTTGTCAAGAACTTCATTCTTCTTGGATCAAGTATCAACACTCATGGAAGCAGCAGTCAAGAAATCAAACGACGTATTGCATTAGGCAAATCTGCTACACAGGAACTTTTCAAAGTGTTGAAGAGCAAAGATGTCAGCTTGAGGACTAAGATGCGCCTGACCCAAGCCAGGGTATTTTCAGTAACCTCATATGCATGCGAAAGCTGGACAGTGAATAAGGAAGACTGTAGAAGAACTGATGTCTTTGAGTTATGGTGTTGGAGGAGAATGTTGAAAGTGCCATGGGCTGCCAAAAGAACCAACAGATCCGTTTTGGAAGAAGTGCAGCCAGAGTGCTCCTTAGAGGCCAAGATGGCCAAACTTCATCTCTCATACTTTGGACATATTGTCAGGAGGGACCAGTTGCTGGAGAAGGATATCATGCTTGGTAAGGTGGAGGGTCAGAGAAAAAGAGGAAGACCCCCAACGAGATGGATTAGCCAAGTGGCAGCATTGATGGACTCAAGCATGGCAATAATGTTGAGTTTGGTCCAGGATTGGGCAATGTTTTGTTCTGCTGTGCATAAGGTTGCTATGGGTCGGTACTGACTCGATGGCACCTAACAACAACAACATAGTGGTGCTGTGGACTAATGCGTCCAACTGCAAGGTCTTGGTTCAAGCTCACCAGCTGCTCCTTGGAAATCCTATACAGGGTCGCTATGAGTCGGAATTGACTTGACAGCACTTAACAACAACAACATACAGAGAAGTACATTGTCCAAACCTTTCCTTTGTAGGCCAGCATGTCCCCCACAAAAGGTCCAGTGTTCTTCCCGTAAAGATAGGGGTAAGTCACTATAGATTTTGTTTTTTTCCCCCTTTAAAATAGTATTTATTTATCTCATGATTCTGTGATTTGGCAGTTTGGGCTAGGGTTAGCTTATAGGTTTGTCTGGTTTTAGCTGGGTGGCGAGTTGCCAGGTCTATTGGGGGCTGGTAGATCAAAGGGGGCCTCTTATCTCTACCCCACATAGCCTCTCATCCCCCAGCAGGCTGGCCTGGGCTTGCTCACACAAAGATGCCAGGGTTCTGAGAGAGAGAGTGAGAGGAAGTGGGTAAAGCCTCTAGAGGCCTAGGCTTGAAACTGCAGAAGGTCACTTCTCCCACATTCTAGTGACCAAAACAAGTAACTAAGAGTTTTTTACTCCAAACCCCCCAAATTCAGGGTTTGCTTCATAGCCATTGCTAAAAGATGGAATCAGGAATGGGAGAATGAAGGAAGGGGAGGGGATACACAAAAATAAACATCATGGATTGAAGATGGGATGGAAGGAAGCCACCGACCCTGCCCTTTGTACATAGCATGGAGCAAGTCTTGACTTGGAGCATCTCAGAGGATCTTACAGGAATGAGCTCCTGAGACCACGCACCTGTTGTGAGAACGAAAGGAGACAACATAAATGAGACTACATAAAAGGAGATAAAGGGTAGTGATGGTGCATTCTGAAACTATTCTTTTGGTTCTGGAGCTGCTGGGGTACCTGTGATGGTAGCCCCTGTATTGAAGCCTGTGCTCATGACTCATCTAACTTTACTTCCAAACTTGCATGTAAGGAATTCTCCATTCCTGATGAGACTCGAGATTTCCCTCAGAATACCTTTCAAGATCAAGCCTCAAAAGTCTGTTGAGTAATTCAAAAAATATTAACCAGGCAGCTATGTGCTTGGATTTATGCTGTGTACTGAGAACCCAGAGATTATCCAGCAAAGTACCCATCCCTCCATGAGTCAGACTGGCCTGTGAAGATCAGGCAGGTCAGGTCTGTAATAGAGAGATTTATTCTAGGGGCAAAGGCGGCTCCCATAATGAATTTCCAATCGTGTGCGATTGCCTTTCCTCTGGAAGTGTCATGAAATAGTCCAGACACCTGCTTGTCTTAGACCGGGTAGCACTCTAGTCCCCTTATATCAGGCCTCTGTTCTCAGTGCAGATGGTACACTACTCGACGATGAACATGTATCCCAGTATCTCTGCATCCCTTGATGCACCTCGTGTAGCATCTCACACAGAGAGTGAGCCTAACAAATGTTTGTTAAAAAGATGTATTTGGACTAAACACCTGGGCAGAGAGTAACCAACAGAGGCAAGAGGCAGGGCACCAATGGACAAGGTTTCTGGAATTCATGAACTTGTCATGAACCACCCAAACTGCACACCAAATCTTAAGCTGGTTTGGTTTTAGAAGGGAGTGCCTTAGGCGAGCTGGGTGGGTGTTTCAAGCAGAGGAAGAGCATGGTGGAGTGGCTTCCTCCTTCTGTTTCTTTCTAAAGAATGATTGAACTCAAACACAAGTGAGGCATTCTGTCTGCAGTACTCAACTTTGTTATCACCTGCAGAGGAAAAGAGGTCTTCAAAATAACTCAACATTTAAGTTGCAAAACAAATCAAGGTAAATTTACTTGTCAAACTTGGCAAAGCATGTGTACTTTCAAAAGTTGTTTCTCCATGAAAAGGGGCAGAGGGGATGTATGTATATGTGAGAATTTAAAAATGGGTATACAAACGCTTCCTTGGGCTGCTTAGGCACAGCCCTATCAACCCTTGA